AATTCTCTCCCCTTGCTTCATTCATCGCCACCAAAATTTCTGCAATTTTCGATGTTGTCCTTTCCTGTTCTGAATCATCAAAAACTAGGAGCTTTTTAGTCAAGATAGGATTTGGAAAAGATGGAGACAAAATACCTTGTAGAGTGGCCGGTGGAGTTTCATCCATAATTGCGCCAGGTGCAATTTTGCATTGAATTTCGACCGTGGCCGAATCTAAGTGCTCCAAGGGCTCTGTGTCGTGTTCTGAGTCTCCACTAACCTGTTCTTGACCTTCAACATGCACAGCAATAGTAGTGGAAAGAGGGGGAGGGATAGACAGTTCTAAAGACTCGGAAATGGGGTTATCTTGAGAAAGATTCATCCTACGACGTATACTCATGTCATTTAACTCAAGTTGAATCTCCTCACTCACTTTCTTTGAGTTTTCCATGAATTCTTGCCATTTTATGTTAGTTCCTCAATTTTCGCATAAACCCTCTCATTCTCTTTGTCCCTAATTTCGTTATTTTTACTGAACATCTCCGCTCTCTCTTGAAGTCTAGCTATTTCTTCATCTAAAACAACACTTTTTTTCTCTAAAGATTGATTTTTTCGAAGATAGACTTTACTAACACCTCCTAATTTCTTCTCACTAGAACCTTCTTTATTAACCTTAGCATCATGAGATTCCATATTGATTTTTTCAAAATTTGTACTACCTATGGATAAATTTCTCCTAGGGTTCATTCTTATATCTTTCTCATATTTTCTTCTTTGTTCCCTAGGATCAAAAACTAACTTTTCATGAGAAATCCTAGGAGGTTCAAGAGGAATCATATCCGATTTAGTTGGTGGAGGCAACAACACTCTCTTCTTCAACTTCTTTTTGTCGTGTAGCTTGGAGGAAGCTGAACTTTGCATGGTTCTTGAGTTTGCTTCACGATCGACAACGAAAATCCCTCCAATAAACCCTAAAGGTGCCGAAAAAAAAGAGAGATAAAAGAGACTTTGAGATTCTTTGAGATTTATTGAGAGAAGATTTGAAAACAAGTGAGAAAATTTTGGTAAAAATCGTGGATGGGGTGTTTTCAAATCCTAGGACTTTTTGTTTTATGTTTTAAAACATATTAAAAACAAAATTGGGTTCAAAATTGGGCCTCCTTTTGATTTAAAAACAACCTAAAGCCCATTTAAACATAACCCGCCCACGAAAGCCCTAACCATAACTAAAAAAAATCGATTTTGTCTCTTAAATTGTGCCTGGCGCAATTTTGACGAGGGTCGGATCTTGATCCTGCAAAATTAAACCTATAAGCTTATATGAGCAATTTTGGTGATGAACCAGCAATGGAAACTAAACTAATTCAGGAAGATGATTGTGATCTTTACAAACCCAAGGTTTCTATATGGGGGGTCTTTCCTAGACCTGGCACCATTTCAAAAACGGTAAAAGATCTGCTTTTATAGTTCTTTTGGCTGGAATGATTCCCTTAGCCCCCCCTTCCATTAATTTTTTTTATGGAAAATAATTATGTGCTTACTTCATCAACTTCAATAAATTATGTGTTAATCCAAATAGGGAAGCTAGCTCAGACTAGGAAGTACATTTTCCATTTGGAACACAAGAGAAGAAAGAGAAGAAAGAATGGAAGATTGTTGTTCCTTTTACGGTAGTTTGCTAATCTCTCAATTTTTCAGTTGTACCCTTGTCTTATAATCTATTAATTTCTTTTAGTTTAAGTTTCAGTATAGGAAATGACATTATAAACCCCTTTCTTTGATTAGAGGACTATATAAACTTGTAGGCTATAAGAGATTATCTATTGCATTAGATGACCTCATAGGCTCATACATATGAAATTCCTGAACACATTTAACTTTTAACAATGAAGATTAGCCTCACTTTATACTCTGACCTAATGGAGAGAGAGCTCCTCCCTCTCTAGATTTTTTTTGGAACATTTATGTCATTCACACCTTGAATATTGCGTGTGAAAAATGTGTTACACCTCAAGATGGAGTGCAACATCAAGGTTGTCTATCAAGAACAAATAACAAAGTGCCATTGTTCACAATAAGAATATGTTACTCGGAAGAAGTATTGTATCATATATGCTAGAGGACTTAATAATGAGTGAACAATGTGGATGGAGCACATGCATGCTAACATCATGCAGAAAGTACTGTAAATTCAACCAGTACTAATCAAGTTTCTGTGACAACTTCTATATATGTTTGATTTATAATGATCAAAGTGAAAGCTGCTTGAAAGGAAATTCTTCAATAATGGTGCAACGGGATTATGAAGATTTCGTTAATATATTTGTAGAAGTTTGGTATTTCCATGTTGTAAATAAGGTGACGTTCGTGAAGGCACAAAAGCTCTTTTATTTCTTTTTTAGTTTGGAGGTAGAAGAACTATACGCCCTGGAGAGGTACTTGAAACGGATGAAGAAAAAGCTGCTAAGTGTTACAATCCTAACTCTTATCTTTGGATTATACTCCACGAGTAGGTCATCGAGGACGATGACAGTTTAAGTGGGGGAGAATGTCACAACCATACTAGTAGAGAGTAGGTTGTGACGCCCACGTAGTATGCAAGTGTCAGCGACAAGCATATGTCGCCCATCGGGCCATGACGAGGGCCGAGAGAGAAGTGCCGTGATGCGACCAAGGAGGATGGTGCATCACCTATCACACCATATGGATGTGCTCAAGAATGCCTAGAGAAGGCGTATGCAGAATGCAAGGTGAAGGCAATGTCAGTGGTGTCGGTGACAAGCTCAACGGGGGCCAGTTGGGGCCCCGGGCCATGACCCTAGAAGTCGGGGTTCCGTCGAGAGTTTGGACGAGCGGCTTTAGAGTTAGATGCATATTAGTGGAATA